TTGGTATAAAAGTTTTCATGGATTTTTTATTTGCAGCTCCTCTCAATGAAGTTAGCTTCAGTGAACACCAGCCTGGACTTCAACATGGAGAGTGTAATGTAAAAGGATGTAAGTCTAAAGAACAGTTAATCTTTTAGAATAAATAATGTTTCAAATCTTTGAATTGGAATTTACCCTCTCTCCCCCCCCCCCCCTCTCTCTCTCCTTTTTTTTTTGCAGGTATATCAATCAAACAACACTTTGCAGAGTCCAATATTCCCAGTAAATTCCTCAGTCTTTTTAGGGCACCAGTCCCAGCAAAATCCACCATTACATAGCAATATTGCTAATGGGACAATGTCTCAATGCTCGGTGGACCCTTTAGATTCTGCCATCTGCCCTAAACTTAACACCCATTTGCCTCAATTAACCATTTTATTAAAACTGTACCTCAGGTGAGTTTCATTTTCAGAGTTTATCTTCTCCATTTTCATAGACCTAAAGAACTAAAATTTGGGTGTCAAAATCATGTTTCAGTGCCCAACATTTTGTGAAGGTGGCCTTGAAACGCTAGTTCGGATGGGATTTAATCAGAGCCAAGAAATGGCATTACATTCACAAAACTTCCAGGGTAAGCAACAAAAAAAGGATTAATAATAATAATAGAATTAACAAACCAATTAAACCAGACTGATTGATTATTCTTGTAATTGCAGGGTCAAATCAAGCTTGATTTTTCTTGTAATTGCAGGGTCAAATCAAGTCACTGACATGAAAGTTGAGCTCTAATAACACACAATTCTTTGGTCCAGCTGATTAAAGGTTTAAAGCAGAGAATTACTGCTTTGTATATACAAAAAAATGAAGTTATTATTGGACCAGTGCATGAACTCCCATAACTAAGCTACTAGCCATTTATGCTTAGGGTTAAAGTGGAGGATTCTTTACCCTTTCCCCCCCTTAATTTTAGGGTTATCTTGTTCAACTTCTAATTCATTTTTACCCCCTTTTAGTGGATCCCTTTTCCCCTTACCAATTTACCCAATGTAAAATCTGTGTATTCATGGTGCAAAGATCTTTACAGAGAAAAAGGCACCAACATTTGTAAGATATAGTATTTGTCAATTAATGCTAATTATGCAGCTTTCATTTTGCACACTATTGGACATTTAACTTTATTAATTTGAGACATAATCTTAACCTGAAAACAAAGATTTCCCAGAATTCTGTTGAAAACTTTTGTATGGGGATCACCGGGATTGTTTCCGGAAAGTCAGATTAATATACGGTGTTACTAGATACATTAAAATATATTTGATAAATTCGGAAATATCGAGTAATAATAATGTAATAGGTGGAAATCATGAAGAAATATTAAAAAATTTGGTAACCGGTAAACTTAGCTTGTCGGTTTGTGTCGATATTTTATAAAAATATATTGATCCATAACAATATAACAAGTAAAAAAATGACAAAACCGGTCTATAAATGACAAAACAGGTAAAACGCTACCGGATATATCGAAAGTGTCGATACTTTATAAAAATTTATATATCCATAATAATATAACATGTAAAAAAATAATAAAACCGGACTATAAATAAAAAAACAGGTAAAGCGCTACCGGATATATTGAAAGTGTTAATACTTTATAAAAATGTATTAATCTATAACAATATAACAGGTAAAAAAAATGACAAAACCGGTCTATAAATGACAAAACAGGTAAAGCGCTACCGGATATGTTGATAGTGTCGATACTTTATAAAAATGTATCGATCTATAACAATAAAAAAGGTAAAAAAATGACAACGGTCTATAAATAACAAAACAGGTAAAGCGCTACCGGATATGTTGATAGTGTCGATACTTTATTATAAGTATCGACACTTTTGGAATTTAAAAGAGAAGAAGTTATAACTCTAATAAAGTGTCGATACTTTATAAAAATGTATCGATCCATAACAATATAACAGGTAAAAATATGATAAAACAGGTCTCGAAATGACAAAACCGGTAAAGAGCTACCGAATATGTTGACAGTGTCGATACTTTATTATAAGTATCGACACTTTTAGAATTTAAAAGAAAATAAGTTATAGCGCCAATAAAGTGTCGATACTTTATAAAAGTGTATCGATCCATAATAATATAACAGATAAAAATATGATAAAATCGATCTCGAAATGACAAAACCGATAGTAAAAAAGTGTGCTTGTGTGGTCATTTTTATTTCAGAATTTTCATTTTTAATACAAAAAATTAAATATTTTAAACAAAACCCAGCAAGAAAAGAACAAAAACTTTACAGTAACAAAAGAATAACATTAGGAAACCCACCATGTTATCAGTTTCTCAAAGAACAAAAACCCAGAAACAGACATCTCTCAATTCAAACTTATGATATACTCTTATTATCTTCATATGATAAAGTTAGGTCAGTTTTAGTTTATCAAAGAATAAATTTATGATTGAAGAACTCAAACTGGTGCACGCATAAGTGTCGATACATTTATAAAAAATATCGATTCAAAAAACATCGAAATCGATAATTATTATATAACCGGTAAAAATATACTGGTTAATTAGCAAATAAGTTTACATTATTTATCAACACTCTTTAAAATGAAAGCACAACGAGGTGCACGCATAAAGTGTCGATACATTTAAAATTATATCAATCCCAAAAACATTAAAACGATAATTATAATGTAATAGGTAAATTTACAATGTTACCAATTTAAATATACATGTTTAGTTAGAAAATAGGTCAATATAAGTGCTACCTATTACATTATATAAGCGCTACCTAATATATTATTGTACTTGATAATATTTCCGGTTAAATAATATAACATAACCGATTTAAATTTTAATCGATTACTTATTTAATAAGCCACATAATTTTTAATCATTTTTTAGACGTCGTATATCGAAATTACCGGGGATTACCATCACCTCAATATTAAAAAAAAAAAAGCACTGATAGATCTTGTAATCTGCTTGATTAGACCCTTACTAGTGTTTTTAAGTGGTAACCAGCTGTATTTGTTGCCTAAAATTTTCTATCTCAATAACTCATGATTAAGACATTGATGATCTTTTATATGAGCATAGCTGGCTGCAACCCTTAATTCTTGGCAATTTCCCACTAATTTTCATGTGAATTAAAGAGTTTAAGTAATTATATTTATAGGGTGTATGTATTTTATTAATGATTAAAAAAATTATAATATATATTATATCATAATTATTTTACACTATTAAAATATTATCATGAAAAAAAAGTAATTAATTCATTTAAGCATAACCAAAAGTTATAACCAACCATTTGATTAAAACCCTAAACCAAAAGTTATACCCAACCATTTGATTAAAACCCTAAACCAAAAGTTATAACCAACCATTTGATTATCTTTTGCATCAAAAGAATCCCAGGTTGGCATTGGTGAGATTCTGACTAGACCCATTGAACCATGGAGCTTTATTATCTCACCTAATTTCAAAAGTAGTATTATTGTTTTGTTTAAGAAGGATAAAAAATAATAATCATTGTAATGGAATTGAAGTTTGTTTTCTTTTTTTTTAATGGAATTCAAGTATTTAAATTAGAAAAAATTTAAAATTTTCTATATTTATTTTCTAATTCAGGGATCAATAATTGGATTCTCATATTAGAATTTGTTTAATTGCCGGAAAAACGACTTTATAAAATATACAATTATTCACTTGTATATTTAAGAATAATTATAATAATAATAATCATTTATCTATATCTTTTCATGTATAAAAAAATATGTTTATATCCTTTTAATTAATTCTCTATTTTACCTAATAAAAATATAGTTATATATATTTGTATTGAACCGTGGGTATGATTTTTACTCCGAAAATCAAATTAAATTTTAAAACCGATAACATAATAGATAAAAAATAAAATATTTAAATTAAATTCAGATCGAATAAAAATTTAACTCGATCCAACTCATTATCCCTATGTTATTGTTATTTTTGTGATGAGATCAGTCATGAGTCATCTCATCCTTTTAACGGATCTACATTGGTAGCATTATGACCCTAGTGATGTAGGGTTTTTTATTTTCTATGGGAATTTGCTGGTAAATAATCTTAATCAAATCCCCATATCCACCAGTTTACAAGCAAAGCGAGATTCGAACGCATTTCATTTACATTTGTTGATTTATGTCGCGACCGCCCAACTATGAGTTTCAGGAATGGTGGAACAAGCAAAGGGAGCATAACCACCAGTTTTTCACCAATGACACTACCAATCCCACCAACGAACTTCAAATTATTTTGGCATTTGCTTTCGTTCCACTACTTGGAAGTTGATCAAAATAATTTGAACTTCAAGGGTGCGTTTGGTTCACGGAATGTAAGATTACCAGTGGGAATAAAAGATTACCAAGGAATAGGATTACTGGGAATGTTGTATTTTGTGTTTGGTTGGTTTAGCAGGAATGTAAGATTACCGTGTTTGGTTAAAGGAATAAAAGATTTTTGGAATGTATATTTGACCAAATTATCCTTATTATATATCTGTATAATATTACAAATTGTAAAATATTTATATATTTTCTTTAAAAAATTAAATTCATAATATTTATATAATTTTTTTACAAAATTAAAAATATAAAAAAAGGTTTAATGAAAAGGTAAAAAAAATTTAACCCCTAAACTTCATATAAAATTTTAATTATAGATTTTGTTTTGTAAATATAAAATAATTTAAGGATAAATTTGTAATTTAACCTTCGTAGAATTTTTATTATTCAATGACAGAAGAAGGATATTTTTGAAAAAAAATAAAAATTTAAGGGCATTTTAGTCAAAAATGCCGGTAATGTTACAATACCTAAGGGAAGAGAGGTAATGACATTCCCGGTAATATACCCAAAAAATCTACTATTGGTAATAAAACATTACCGAGAATGAGATTCCCGACCAACCAAACATGGGACACATTCCTTAAACCAAACACCCCCAAAAGTAAATGATTCATTTATAAGAGGTTTGTAATAAAAGTTGCATAAATTTTTCACTTTCTGGTGTGCAGGTGTACCAACAATCTATTGCAGCCGTTTGTATTATGGACTGGCCAAAGGAGAGGATGCTGGTTCAGGTTTTGGATGATTCTGATGATGTAGATGTTCAGCTTCTTATCAAAGAAGTACAGAAATGGCAGCACAGGGGCGTGCACATATTATGTAGGCATCGCCTTATCCGTACTGGCTACAAGGCAGGAAACCTGAAATCTGCAATGAATTGTGATTATGTGAAAATTTACGAGTTTGTTGCAATTTTTGATGCTGATTTTCAACCGGCACCAGATTTCTTGAAGAGAACCGTTCCTCATTTCAAGGTAACACTTTAGTTCACTTCTGCTGAGAACTCCACAAGTTTAAGAAGGTTTTGGCATTTCTCAGTTTCTATGCTATGCTTATTTTTAGGAACATAATTGATTTTTTAAATGCTTGACATTTCTCAGTTTCTATGCTATGCTTATTTTTAGTAATATTGACATGTCAATTGTTGCATAACCGGTATCGAATGAAACCATTGAGACATTAAGAAATTCAATGCTTCTGCCGAAATTAATTGAATGATGGAACTCCATATCTTGGTTGGAATTTCCTTTTTTCTATTTGAGTTGGTACTAGTGGATTTTCTCTGTAAATATATATATTTCCTTGGTGTTTTTCAGTTTTGATTTGTTAGCTCACATATATTTCTGTCTGATCAGCACTTTTTTCCCTGTCTTCTTCTAGGGAAATGACGATATTGCATTGGTTCAGACAAGGTGGGCCTTTGTGAATAAGGATGGCAACTTGCTCACAAGATTGCAGAACATAAATTTATCATTCCATTTTGAGGTTGAACAGCAGGTCAATGGTGTGTTTATCAACTTCTTTGGTTTCAATGGAACTGCTGGTGTGTGGCGAATTAAGGCCCTCGAGGAATGTGGTGGATGGCTGGAACGGACAACTGTTGAGGACATGGATATTGCCGTTCGTGCTCATCTTTCTGGATGGAAGTTTGTATATCTGAATGATGTTAAGGTGTGTGACTCTCATTTATAATATAAAAAATTCCTTTTTCACTTGAGAGAGTAAGGAAAGGTGACCTAATCTTTTTATTTGCAGTGTCTTTGTGAGCTTCCCGAGCCCTTCGAGGCATATAAGAAACAGCAGCATCGCTGGCATTCTGGTCCAATGCAGTTGTTCCGCTTGTGTTTCTTTGACATACTTCGTTCTAAGGTACTGTGGTTTCTTGAAACTGTTATCTCAGACATTTCTTGTTTTCATTAAAACTAAACCATGCATGCATAAATTAATATCTCCTTTAAATATTGTACTCCGTAAAAAAAAATTTAATTCCTTCATTCCCGTGGAGAATCTAACCAGACTATCTTTCAGGAGATAACGCTTAATTAGGGCTCCTTCTTATCTTTATTAATTAGGGCTCTTCATCCAGATGAGTAACACTCAACCATGTCGTAAGGAAATGCTGTCATATGTTACTAAGCTAGCCTTACCATCTTATCTTTATTTACCTCATTCTGCTGCTCATTTAGATGAGGAACACTTGGAATCCTGGCCTGTAGTGTAGTACAAACATTTAAACCTGTGGGGTTGCTCAAGATGTGGGTTGTTGAGCTGCTTTTGGACAAGGAAAACAAGAGCAACAGTCTAAGATTTAGCCTCAACCATGTCTTTTTCCTGAAGTAAAAACAAAATCAATGATAATTTTGCGGTAATGGACTAATCATGTTATTCGTCTCTAAGCAATGTGAAGACACTAGTTTTTTTCTTATTTGCTTATATTATTATTTATTATTATTGTTATTATTATTATTATTATTATTATTATTATTATGTTATATTATTATTATTAAATAATACATAATTTTATTTACATTTCAGGCCCAAACCTGAGGCCCGTTTTACAAATCTCAGAGCCCAAACATGGAGGCCCGATCAGGACAAACCCAATTCAGATGGCCCAACAGAGCCTAAATGTGTAACCCTAGATTCAGTTAGGGTTTACATATCATCATCCAACCGCCTCAACTTGTTGCCGTTGGATCTAGTTTTGATCCAACGGCCCAGATAGTCCCAACAAGGAAACCCTAGGGTATCATAACCCTAGGGCCACGTCCCAGCCGCCGCTGCTTCCAGAAGACCCCAGTTGCCGCCTCCAGATGCTTCCAGCCGCCTTGCCGTCGCTGCTGTGCCAAGCCTCAAGCCTCGATTCTTTTCAGAAGGCCAGATGCCCCTCCACACAACGAGCTCTATGGTGAGTCACCACCATAGCTATGGTGACTCACCTAGGGTCGCCATTTGGGACCAGTCTGAAGCCATCACCAGTGGTGGCTATAAAAGCCACCATCCCCTGCAAAGAAAAAAGAGAGGAGGAGAGACAGAAAGAGATGAAGCAACCAACGAGGACGGAGAGAGATACGAACAACAACGGAGAAGAACAGACAGCTACGAAGAAAAACAGAGAGCATAACACAACAACACCAACAACAACAGCAAACTACCAACGATCTCAGTCAACAACAAATCGAGGGAAGAAGAAAAGGTAAAAGAAACTTACCATGGAGGAGAGCAAACGTCACATGAAACCACCAAAACCCGAAGGTATTCTTGTAGATCTGCTCCGATTAGGAGCTTTTTAGGGAAAAATAAGGTTGGATTCGGTATTGGGGGTGTTTAGCGCTCCCTTTTGGTATAAGATTGTATAGTTCCGGCCACCGTGAGCGGTGACCGACGGCGGCGACTGACACCAGGGTATGGTGGCCGGCAGTTGCCGGAGTTCCCTCTGGTGAGGGAAGCAAGAGAGAAGCGAGAGAGAATTTCTTCTCTCGTTTTTAGAGAGAAAAGAGAAAGGGAGAAAATGAGAGGCTGACCTTCGGGTCAGCCATTTAGGGGTTTAAAAACCCTCTCCCAAATGACACCGTTTTGGGGAGGGTATTTGTGTAATTTCCTGTGTGGGTAAACTATACCCGCAGTCACTCAAGTATGTAACTTTGCATTTTAGTCATCGAAAATAATTTTTGATTAGTTTAATTTAGTCTTCGAATTTTGTTTAATTTATAATTTAGTCATTATCAGTGTTTATATATATTAAGGCAAATAACTGATTTAGTCCCTTATCATTTTAATTAATTATATTTTAGTCCTGAATAACTAAGGACAAATTGCTATTTTAGCACTTAGATTTATGACATTTTGAATTAGACCATTTAATTTTAACAAGTTATAATTTAATCCCTAATTTTAGTTTATTGTTTTTTTATATTTTAATACCCTAGTTTTAATTTTATTTATTTCAGTCATTACTTATTTTAATTTTATATGTTTATTTTTAAATATTTATTATTATTATTATTTAGTCATATAATATATATAAATAATATTTGTTTATTTTTATTTTTTTAAAAATAAAAATCCTATTTATAAATTTAATTTTATAAATTACTTTTAAGAAAAATAATCATATTTTGGTATTTATTTATTTTTTAATATCGAAGAAAAGAGCTGTCTTAAAGCACCTAGATGACCTTTTCTGATATTCTTAAATAAATAAATATCCTATTTTTATAAATTATATATTAATTTATTTTAATTATTTTTAGAAAAATGTTTTATTAGTATATATTTATTTTTTAATATCGAAGAAAACAGCTGTCTTAAAGCACCTAGAAGCCCTTTTCTGATATTTCTAAATAAGTAAATATCTCTTATATTTATATATTAATATATTTTTTGTAAAATTATAAATTTGAAAATAACAGAATTATAAATTAAATATATCTTTGAATTTTTAAATTTCTAATAATAGAGATAATTTATAATTAACAAGTACCAATTTTGGGCGTTATAGGGGTGCTAATCCTTCCCCAAACGTAATCGACCACGAATCCCTTTTTATTATTAAAAATAACGAATTTTTGGTTAAAACGCAGACCAGTTTATCTTTTAACTGATGTTTTCTTAAAAACTCTTTTAAAAGATAATTTTTTAGGTATTCGACCTACTTGATTCAAAAGGTCGATGACGACTCCCAAAATATTTTAAAACCATTTATTCACATCACTTTTCCGGCCAAGTAAAAAAATTTCGTGCCCGGGTGAAAACCGGTTACGACAGCTTGGCGACTCCGCTGGGGACAACAAGTCAAGCTTTAAAATTAATTATAAATTATCTCTATTAATTAGAAATTAAAAATTCATATATTTAATTTTTAAATTCTTTTTGTTTCAAAATTTTTTATATATACTTATTATTTTCATAATATTTATATGTTATTTTAATTAATGCTTTATTTTCAAATATTAAATTTTTTTATTTATTTGTTAGAGGTTTGAACATTTCTCCTCACATACAACACTTGCATTGCATAAACATAATCTCTATACTTGAGATTTGTCCCTTTTAAGTGGGAGTGAAAGCGACGTCTTCGTGAGAATTTATTCTCCGTGTCAGACCTAGCAAGTAGCTTTCGGGGTTCATATGCTCTATGTCTTCGTGGGAATTTATTCTCCGTGTCAGGCATAGAGAAGTGTATCCCCTCGAATTAAACCCGATCCATTTTAGTTTGTGATGGACTAGGATTGAGGGTTAACAGCCCAAGGGGGCACTAACAAGGACAATTCGAGTACCTTTACTCATAGAACTGAAGCCCTGCATATAATAACCTTAGAAATTCTCCTGATCTAAGACTGTACTGAATCTCTGTCCGTAGGTGTACACAAAGGAGAAATAAGCTTTAGCTTTTAATTTATTTTATTTTCTTTTTCCTAAATAAATGCATGCGAACTAGAAATCATGCAGTTAGGTTAATTTTTCCAAACAAAGCATGGAACTAGAAAGCATGAGGTTAGGATTTATACCTTGATAGATAGAATTTTTATTTCTATTAATTGGTACTAGCCAATTTATTTTCATTTTTCATTTTTTTTGCTATAACTTGTTTGCATGGATTTTTTTTTGTTTGCATTGCATGATCATGGCATAATCAAAAGGTGTTGACTTGAAAGACTGTTCATCAAATTAGAAAGAAATTGTAAATGGACAAAAAGTTTTATGATCAAGCAAAATATGATAAGGCCAAAGAAAGACATCCTGAGGAAACTCCGAGGATGGAAGCGAGCAATGCTCACAGAGATCCTGTTATATTAATACCAAAAGTACTCCACAAAGATCCTGCCAGATTGATACCAAAAGCAGTCTATGGTAAGAGTATTAGTCAGGGAATTCAGAGTAGAGGAGGTTTTTATGAAGCTCAAGCATGTTATTTGAAGGACTTGAATGACCAAAACAAGAAATTGAGCACAGAAGTGGAAACCATGCATGAAGATTTCCAAAAGATCAGTCAAGCTTTTCAAGATGCTGACATAGGAGATACCCCAGAAGGGTGGATAACAGGGGTTACCAAACTGAAAAAGAACTGCAACATATATGAAGATCTAATCCAAGAACTTCTTGGACAAAAAAGTTCTCTTATAAGGGAAAATGAGCAACTCCGAGAAGTGACACAGAAGATGAAGAAACACCAGAATATCATGGAAGAAGCTGCAGTCCAGACAAGCAATATGACCCATAAACTGATAAACCAAGCTGACTTTACAAAGAATTAAAGCAGACTGATAACTCAACTTTTGAGCATGAATAGAAACTAACTTGGTTTTAGAGAAGTTAGGAGGGAAAGTTATCCCCTATATATAAAGTTTTAGATAGGACTGAAAGCTGTCCCCTACATGTAAAAGTTTTGTTTGATGCAAGGAAACTTTTGTGTTCAATGAAATCTGTTCTAAGATGATACTCTTGAGTGACACCTTTTCATACATGCATTTGCATTTTGCATCTTTACATTTTCATTTATACTTTTATATTTGCTTTTGTATTGCACAATTTGCATTTTTATTGTTACATTCACATATTTACATTTGCATTTACATTTTGCATCTTTTTTTCATTTTTACGTTTATATTTATATTTTCATTTTTACATTTGCATAATTACATTTTATTTCAAACTATTCTACATGCATTTAATCATGACAACTGGAATAATTCGTGGAGAATTCCATGACAGAATTTTGAAATCAAAGTGGAGTTAACTTGGTCTTCCTAAAGAAGGATAATAGCCATGAATGAGATTTTAGCAAGGGTTGGTAGAATCGATAAACTGCAAGAGCAATTTATCGAGACACAACAAAAGATGATTGATCAAGTGAAAAAATTCCAGAATGATTCAAAGGAACAACAGGCCAAATTGATGGACCTGTTGAATATTGTAATCCATGGAGAAAAACCCTTAGAGGATCCTGTTGTGAAAGATTTGAATGGGATTATGAATGATGTAGCTGATACAATGGAAACAAATGACCAAGACTTTGTCGGGGAATGTGGAAATTCGATAAATCTCCAAAAATCGGGTATGACCCCAGAAAATGCGACAAAGATCAAGTTGAAGAGAAGCATGAAAGAAATTTCAGAACCATTGAAGAAAGCTAAACAAAGCAAACAATCACAAGGTCTTCAAGAAAGCAGAGTAAACAATTGTAATGTGACAGTGATGTCAGGGGAAATTCTACCCAAGTTTCCTTCAGTTTCATGCAGCAAGTTATAACTTGAGTTACTCAAAGCCCAAATTATTACTCCATGTAGAGCTAAGCCTTTGTTACTTCCATACCCGAGTTGGTATAATGAGAAACTCTCTTGTGATTATCACGCTGGAGCCCAAGGACACTCCATTAAAAATTATGGTCGCTTCAAACAACGAGTTCAAGCCCTTTTGGTTCAGGGAATCATAGAAGTGGATGATCAGTCTGTTTTGGTCAAACAATCAAGAATTAAACATCAAAATGGAGTTGGTAGTATCAAAACAAGTAACGTACATGCCGCAGAAAACGAAGAAAACAAAGTACTTGAGCCAAAGATAAAACGTTCAATTCTCAATACTTCTCTGATTATAAATGATAAAAAAGTAAAAGGAGAGGTAATTCGAGACTGGCCCACAGGTTTAAGAATGAATGGGAAAGATGAAACTCTGAAGAAACCTCAAATACCTATATCAGATTTTCTGAAGACCAGTGAAAAGAGTCTGGATATAAAGAGTCTGGTGAATATTACTCCAATTACAGCCACAATATGTGTTCAGAATCATGACAAGGCTATCATCCTTAGTAAAAGTTGTTCTGAATCCAAAAATGAGCTCAATTACCAGCCAGAGAAGAAAAAGATGATGATGGAGACTGCTCAGAATAAAGCAAAGAGTTATGTATCTGAAGGCTTACCCAAAGAAGTTGACACAAAAGATGATCAAGAAATGGGGGGCAAATAAGGAAAATCTTGGGCCAATTACACACCAAACATTACTGGAATGATGGGATGGGCTAAATAAACAAGTGAAAGTTGTTATCTACCACTGTAGTACTTTTCTATTTTCAGCATCCTGATTAAACTTGTTTTTTTGTTCCTTTCTCCGCTTTTTGTGCAATAAATAAATTTGTGTTGCTTATTAAGGTTATGAGCATTGAGTCAATTTCGCAATCTTGCAGTTCTTTGAATATCAACTGGATTAAAAAGCTCTTCATGATTAGAGTTATAATCTTTGACAGAATATCAGGATTGAAAACCAGAAAAACAATGACCATTGACCTTACCTCAGAAGAAATACACCCAAACATTATCCTATTACAAATATGAGATAGCCTACTCTTATTGAAAGAAATTACAAAAAGGCTTGGTATTTATATATAGGAGCGTACAACATGGGGCATTGTTGATGTATTACATTACAAAACCGATTAGAATATTTTTCTATTGATGATGCTCGATGATGAACATAATTTTTTACAAATAGGTAAATCTAGTTTAAGTCAGTTGCTTGGGAATTGAACTCTAATGAAGATATTTTCTGAATTCCACCAAAACACCTAGACTATAACAAGTTCTTCTTAACAAGCTTAGGAAATTGGATTTGGATACCCATGTTATATTATTATATGCAATAAAGCTTGAGTTATCCCCCTAAAGCAATTGGTTTCTAGCCCCGGCTTT